TGGTGGGTGGGAGGAGTACAATTCAGCCTCTAACACCACCCATGGTCATAAACTCTATATGCATATAGTATTCTCCACACATATCTATCTCCACACACACACATTCCAAGGTCACACATACTGGAATATGCTACCAGGACTGCACACCTCCATGGCCTCCTACAGCTCAGCACAGGCCCTCTTGCTCCGTGCTCCACTGCCACACACACGCAGTGATGACCACACTCAGAAGCCACCCTGAGGAGGTCACGCTCAGAGCCCTAGGAATTTGTGGCCTGAGACTAGCCTCCTGGTCTCATGTCCCCTCCCACCCGCACACCTTCTCCCTCTGACTCCTCCCTCCTGCTCCAGCACCCCCTCCCACCAGACCGGCACCTGGCAGCCCCGTCCTACACTAGATGGGGCACCAGAGGGTGTCCCCTTGCCGTCTAGAATCAGGTACCCCTTACACACCGGCCTCCCTCCTCATAGAGTCTTCCTTACCCCTCTCCCTTCTGGAATCAGGAGTAGAAGACACATTGTCCCTCTCTGTAACACCACACACATGCACACACACACACACGCACACGCACGCATGCACGCGCGCGCACACACACAAGCACATATGCACACACACGCACGCACGTAATGCACACACACATGCACACACATACACACATACACATGCACACACATGCACACCACACGCACACACAAGCACACACATACACGCATGCACGCATGTACACACACACAAGCACATATGCACACACACACACACACACACACACACACATGCACACACATGCACACACACAGACCCTCCAGCAGCCCACGGCAGCAGTCTGTTCTTCATTATGGGCCGATGTGCCTGTTTACTCACCCAGCTGGAGATGGTTAGAAAGTGATAAATAATGAAAGAGAAAACAGGCTTTGCCCCTCTGCGGCTTCTATTTATGTAACATGTGTCACTGCGGACTCACAGACTCTGGTTCGGAGTTGCTCGCAGGAAATAGTTTATTTTTTCCGGACAGTGGCTTGAGGGGTCGGGTAGAGGGCCAGGATTTGGGTTTCTGGTCTCACACCCATGGGAGTTTCAGGATCTGGCTTCCAGAATCCTCTTATGGGGCCTTGTTCCCTGACAACTCCCCACACAGCAGCTTGGGACTGCCTGATGGCAGAGGCTCTCCTGTTGCCATGATTTGGAAGGAGGCTGCCTGGTTGGGGTCTCTCCCAGCCACCTCTGAAACCCCTCAAACAGATGGGATTATTTTAAGAGCCTGACAGCTAAAAGCTGGGGCTCCGTGAAAAGAGCCAGTTGGAAAGGGGCTTTTTAAGTAGCCTGCACCTGTCACGGGGGAAAGCATGCAGACTAATTCAAACTCCAAAGAAGGAAGGGCCAGCCGGGCGGTGGTGATGCACACTTTTAATCACAGCACAGAGGCAGGCAGATCTCTGAGTTCAAGGTCAGCCTGATCTACAGCATGAGTTCTAGGACAGCTAGGTCTACAAAGAGAAACCCTGTTTCAAATAAACAAAAACAAGCAAGCAAACAAAAAACAAACAATCAAAAAAAGAATGGATGAATGAATGAAGGGCCAGAAAAATGGCTCAGTAGTTAAGAACACTTGTGCTTCCGAAGGATGAGTTTGGTTCCTAGCACCCATGTAGACCTGTTCACAACTGCCTATAACTAGCTCCAGGGGTCTACCACCACTGGCCTCCACGGGCACCTGCACTCACATTCACATGCCCATATACAGATGCACACACACCATGATTAAAAATTAAAAATAAATATTTAAAGAGAGTAGGAAGGAGAGACTCCTGCCCTGGTTCACTTCAAGTGTTGGGGACCTCAGAGGTTCTCAGTGTGGGTTTCCCAGCTGGGACAATGAGGAAGGACCTGCTCTGCCTGTACAACTAGCCATGGCAGCCAGGACTTCAGACTCAGGCCGGAGGCTCCTAAAAAGGCTCCCTTTCCCCACTGTCTCCTTCTCCCAGCAAGACCGGCCTACCTCACCTTTGCTAGCTGGTGGGAGTCTCTCCGTGGGTATTACAGGTTGCAGTGTTTAGAAATGTGAACTGTGGGAAATCTGAGAAGCGCCGCCTTACAAAGGTGGGCACACTGAATGACACTGGAGGATGGCAGCTGCCTGCTCACCAGCCTCCAGAGTGTGTAGGCCACCACCTGAGTGATCCTGCTTTCCCATGCCAGGATAGCGTGACGAGGCTTTTGTTGAGCATGGAGCCCCAGGAGGATCCCAAGCCACTGCTCAGGAAGCCCAGAGGTACCGAAGGACCTTGGGGAGATAGGGTTCACTGTGGAAGCCAGAAGTGGGGGCTCTCACCTTTTCTGGTTGTAGGGGGAGAGTTTAGGATTCCAGGACAGAATCTAGTCCGAGGTCTCAGAGTTATTTGTACTTGTCCTCTCCTGATTAGGGGAAGAGGCTTCCACCCCAGCTAAGGAAGGACCTTTATACCTTGACAGCATACGAACATACAGTGTGGACCCAGTGCAAGAGAGAAAAGGCACCAAGAGGTAGGTTTCCCTGTATCCCTGGCTGTCCCTGAACTATGTACAACAAGCTGGCCTCAACTCACAGAGATCCGTCTACTTCTGCCTTTAAAGTGCTGGGACTAAAGGCATGTGCCATTATGCCTGGCTTGGGTTTTCTTTTATTTCATTGAGTGTGTGTGTGTGTGTGTGTGTGTGTGTGCGTGTGCGCGTGCACATACATGTATGCATGTCTGGAGGTGGCTTTCTCTTTCCATCGTGTAGGTTCTAGGGATTGAACTCAGGTTGACCGTTTTATGCCGCCAGCACTTTGACCCACTGAACCATCTTACTCGACCTGTTTTGTTTTTTGAGACAGGGTCTCATGTGCCCCAGGCTGGCCTTGAATTTGTGACCCTTCTGCCTCAGCCTCCCAAATGCTGGGATTGCAGGTGTTTGCCAGGACATCTAACAAGGAGGCAGTCTTCAACAGTAATGGGAGTCAGGTTCAGTAGAGATTCTTACAGGCTGCTTCCCAGGATCCCTCTGCAGGGCAAGAATTCAGCAGATGGTGCAGGGTGTCCAGGGATCCACCCACAGGAACCAGTCCCCAGGAATACTGAGACTAGCACTTGGTGGTTTCCCAAACACTTGCAGCGACAGGCCCTGAGGGACCCTGACGCCATTCCCCTCCACCATACCCAAAGACAGAGACTGGAGTACCTGCTCAGGTTAGGCAGGGATTTCCCCAGAGGGAAACCAGGGAGGTGAAAACTGGTTTGAAGAAAGGCAAAGAGGAAGAGGGGTTTATCAACTCCTATTAGGGACCAAGAGAAGACAGGACATTTTGGCCTGGTTGCCTGGACATTTTGGGCTGGCCGGACATGCTGCCCTGGACAGTTGAGGCTGCAGACTGAGTTCGGTTCTGGTGTGGGGACTCAGCAGCTTCTTAGGGCTGCATCCAGATACCATGCGGTTCTTGCCTGCATGTCACTCGCTCTCCTGCAGCGATCCTGGATACAGACCGCTCTTTGATTTGTATTTATTTATTTTTATACAGGGTCTCTCTGTGTGTAGTTTGGCTCTCCAGGATCTCGATATATAGACCAGGTTGGCCTCAAACTCACAGAGATCCTCCTGCCTCTGCCTCCCAAGTACTGAGATTTAAGGCATGCATTCCCATGCCCTGCTCCGGTATCATTCTTGAAGACTCTAACAAAGCTGCAGATTCTCATGACCCTGGGGATTGAATGGTGACAGCAACTCCTCGGCCCATGGTCCCGTAAGGAAGCCGTCATAAGGAAGCCGTCAGTGTCATCATTCCCAGCCTCAGAGAGGGGAGAAAAGAGGCCCAGAAACCCAAACAACAGGGCCACACAGCTGCCAGCTGATGGGGGAGTTTGTGGTGAGCCTCCCCTGCCCCTTGCCTTCCCCAGATGGCTCACAGCACCTGGCAAGTGTAAATGCTTCTTCGAGTGGTGCAGGCACAGGCCGACCCCTTCTCCAAACCACACCACCAAGTTCATGGGGTTTTTTGTTTGGTTGGTTTGGGTTTTCTCTTTTCTTTTTTAAATCAGAGTCTCTATGCAGCCCTGGCTGTCTGGGAATCACTAGGCGAACCAGGGTGGCCTTGAACTCATACAGATCTGCTTGCCTCTGTTGGGATGAAAGGTGTGAGCCACCACACCCAGCTATCTTCGAGTTTTTAAGACAAAACTACTTTTCCTTTTTGTATTTATTCAAGTGCTCAACCCGCGCACCACACCATCACACGTGTTTGCCACGCAGGGCACATGCAGAGGTCAGAGGACAACTTGCGCAGGGCACATGCAGAGGTCAGAGGACAACTTGCGGGAGTCTCTTCTCTCCTCCCACCCCGCGGGTTCCTGGGATCAAACTCTGGTTGTCAGGCTTGCTTGCTATCACCTCTACCCACTGAGCCACCTTGCCCACCTCACTCTAAGTTCTGATTTCCTGCTGGCTCAGAACTGTACGTAACCCCAGCTCCTTCCCCACCCATCACTCTAAATTCTTTGAGCCCTAGCCTCGGTTTCTCCTCTGCCTCTCAAGCCGGCACACCTGAGCACTTGATTCCTGCCTTGGTAGACAGGCAGTACTGGCTAGGCCCCTGCCCCAGCCCTAACCCTCACTCCCTGAATCCCTAGGGTCCTGCCACCTCCATCCCGACTCCTCCTCAGAAACATCAGACCCCGCACCGCCCCCGCCGCCCTCCTCCCCACGCCCCGCGGGAGCCCAGGTTTTGCTCGAGGCCAGCGAGTGAAGCAGGCTGTAACAGAGAAACCTCAGGCTCCTCTTTAAAGGTCCCCAGAGGCGGCAGATCTGAGGAAGGGCTGCCGAGAAGGTGCCTGCAGCAATGTCAGCCCAGAACAGCCGGCTGACAGGATGCTGAGCGGGGATTAAGGTCCGGATCAGGGAAGCCGGGGAGTGAAGGCCGGTTCCCTGCCTCCCTTGCTGCCACCAGAGCCGCCTCTGGGTTTGACTTGTTTGTGTTCTTGTTCTTGCTCTGGGAAAGAGGGTGGGGAGGGAAGTGGGCGGGGTGGCTGGAGAAGGGGGGCAAGGACAGGAGATGGGTAGAGAAGGACAGACGGGGGCTGAGAGGAGGCCAGGCCTCCTATGTGTCTCAGGGACCATCCGGTTTAATGTCCCAGTCAGCTAGTCAGGCTGGTGGACAGTGAGGCCCAAGCCTTCTTCCTGGCCACTTGCTTCCAAGGGGTTGCTGTGGATTTCAGGACACGTGAAACCAGAGCTTGTGAGACACTCCAGGTGGATGAAGCGAAAGCCACCTTCAGGAAGAGGAACAGCCTAGCCCATGTAAATAATTCAAGACCGGCTGGGCTACAAGAGACCCTGTCTTTAAAAAAAAATGTGTATGTAAGGGGTGTCGGGGTGGCTGGTGAGGTGGGTGTGTGTAAGGGGTGGCTGGTGAGATGGATGTGTAAGGGGTGGCTGGTGAGGTGGGTGTGTAAGGGGTGGCTGGTGAGATGGTGTGTGTAAGGGGTGGCTGGTGAGATGGTTAGGTGGGTCAGAGCACTGGCTGTGCCAGCCTGATGACCTCCATTCAATCTGTGGAGCCCACTGTAGGAGACAACCAGCTCCTGGGAGCTGTTCTCTGATCTGCATGTAAACTGTGTCACGTGTGTGCTCTCATTCATGCGCACGCTAAGGAAAAGGTTTTTTGTTTGTTTTGTTTTTTGAGACATGGTTTCTCTGTAGTTCTGGCTGTCCTGGAACTCGGTCTGTAGACCAGGCTGGCCTCGGACTCACAAAGATCCGCCTGCCTCTGCCTCCCGAGTGCTGTACCACCACCTCTGGGCCAAAATAAAAAGTTTTTAAAAGGAGGCCCAGGTGTGGCGGTGAACACCTTTAATCTGAGCACTTGGGATGCAGAGGCAATAGGATCTCTGTGAGTTCAAGGCCAGCCTGGTCTACACAGCCAGTTCTAGGCCATTAACAGCTACACAGTGAGACCCATTCTCAAAAAAATAAAAAATAAAAAAGGTGGATGGCTCCTGAGGAATATCTGAAACTGGCCTCTCCCTCCCTCCCTCTCTCTCTCTCTCTCTCTCTCTCACAGACACACACACACACACACACACACACACACACACACACACACACACACACACACAAATGTGCACATGCATAAATACCTGCACATGCATGCATGAACACACATAAATAATGATGTTTAACTTAGAGTTATAATGATATATAGTTAATAGCGGCTCAAAGTCGATCACCAGCTTGGCAACCATCGATATGCAGCCAGGTACTGGATCTTAATGAACGAGCCCTCCCTGGTCCCTGAGCTGATGAGCCACGTGCACGTGGCTTAAACTAGCCAAGCTGCTTTCAGGGTTCACCCAGGAACCAAGTGGTCCTTATGGCTGCTAAGACACATGTCTGTCTGCTTACCTGGCCATTGAGCAGCCCTTCCGGGGTGCTCAGCCTCTCCCCCTGCCCCCCATCTCTAGATACTCTGGAAATCCAGCTGAAGTGAAGAGAGGATTTGTATGAGATTGGGGGGGTGTGGTCATTGGGGAAGGGTCTTTCTTTAGGGTAAAACCCTGGAGCCAGTTGCCAAATCTCACCATAAGTATGTGGGGAGCTCCCCTCCCTTGCTGAGAGTTTAATCTCTTGGGTATTAGTTCCTAGATCAGCCAATCTCTACCATTTTATGATAATCAAAGTTATGTATGTTATAGAATTTCAGAAAACATGCCTGAGCATGGTGGTGAACAGCTGTGATATCATCAGTAGGAGAGCATGAACGCAGGAGGATCCAGAGTTCAAAGTCATCCTCATTCATAGAGCAAGTTCAAGGTCAGCCTTGGATACAGGAGACCCTGTTTCAAACAAACAAACAAAACAACAACAATAACACATAGATACATGCACAGCGGGAAACTTAGAAATACAGAAAAGCACCCACAAAAAAGGAGATAAAGATCATCTGTAACCTAAAAGCCCAGAGATAACCATGGTAACGCTTCCTATATACACTAGTCTAGATCTTTTGACATATGTGAACATTTATAGACTTCAGGGTGCTTTTTTTTTTTTTTTTTTTTTTTTTTTTTGACAGGGTTTTTTTGTAGCCCTGGCTGTCCTGGTACTCACTCTGCAGATTAGGCTGGACTCGAACTCACAGAGATCTGCCTGCCTCCACTTCCCGAGTGCTGGGATCAAAGGCATACACCACCATGCCTAGTAAGAATGCTCACTTTTAACACACACATATAATTTCTCTGAGACAGAGTCTCATATAGTTCAGTTTGGTAGTGTTTATCTAGCATGCCCAAAGCCCCGGGTTCAATTCCTGGCACCTAACATTGGGTGTGGTGGCACACACCTGTCATCCCAGAAGGTGGAAGTGGCAGAATCAGAAGTTCAAGGTTAGGGGCTAGGAGATGGCTCTATGGTTAGGAATGCTTGTTGCTCTTGCAGAGGACCTAGGTCCAGTTTCTAGCACCCACATGGTGGCTCAAAACCATCCATAACTCCAGTTTCAGGGAATCTGACTCTTTGGACTTCCGTAGGAACCAGGCATACTACAGGCAAATACTCATACACATGAGATAAAGTAATAAATCTAAAAAAAAAAAATTCAAGGTCATCCTTTTCTCTATAACTTTTTCTAGGCTAGTCTGGGCTACACAGAGTAAGACTACCTCAGTCACCAATCGATCGATCGATCAATAGAGGCTGGAGAGATGACTCAGTGCTCTTAGGGAGTTTGGTTCCCCATGTGGGGGGTGGTTTACAACTGCCTGTAACTCTAGCTCCAGGGGATCCAACACCCTCTTCTGACCTCCCTAGATACTTACTATACACACTACACACACTCGTACATACAGACACAAACACACATTTAAAAAACTTTCAGAAGAGGAATGCTCTGTCCTTTGGTTTATTAGAAAGCATTTCAGCTGGCAGCCTTGGCAGAGGGCTTTAATCCCAGTACTTGGGAGGCAGAGGCAGGCAGATCTCTGTGAGTTTGAGGCCAGCCTGGCTTGCAGATTGAATTCCAGGACAGCCAAGGCAGAGAAACCCTGTCTCAAAAGGAGAAAGAAGGAAAGGAAGAATGAATTTCATCTCTTCAGTCCAGTAGTTATATAGACTGCTTCTGGATTATTTTTTACTATGATAAACAACACTGCTGTGGACATCTTTAGAGAGAAATGTTTGAGGGGTTGTTTATTCAGTAACTATCTGCTTATGTGTCCATCTACCCCCACTTTCTACTTCTGCCCTTTCTGGGGAAGGGTCAGCTTTGATTTGACCTCAGGACCCCAAATCTTAGCTTGGCCCTGATTCTCCGTGGGCGTTTAGGAACTAGTGTCCTGGAGCAGATACCTTGGCTGATGGGGACAGCCTAGCTTTCCTGTTAGAATTTCCTGCCCTGTGTGGAGCCCACAACCTCTCCTAGAAAAAGTATCCCTAACCTCAGAACTACTAGCCCTTTCCAGATTCTCTGAGCGGTCCACCCCCATCTCTAAATCTTCCTGTGTAAACTAAGCCCTGCCTCCCAGGCCTAGGCTCCAGGGGATCCTCCATCCCTAACTCTTCTTTGGTTCTTTTGTGGTTTAGAGCTGAAAGCCCGCCCACAGAGCCCTTCTGTTCAGCGGCATACCTTGGCAGGGCCTGCGGAAGGTACCCTTTCCTCAAGCCCGCTTTATCCACCTGCTATGGCTTCCCAGTTCCCCATGCAGCAGTTCCCGCTCTGGATCCTGTTTCTAACAGTACTACCAACTGGCTCCTGCGGTATGTTCCCCCACACCTCTCACCCAAGGCATGGTTCCACCACTGCCTTCCACCACACCTAAGAAACTTGGTCTCTTCCCCACCGAGCTCTGGGTAGGGGCTGAAGATCTTAATTAGATTTGACCACAGCTTTGGAAGCCAGGATCCATCTCCCCGATTTCCAATGGCCTTTGGGGGAGGAAGAGGGTAACTGGGCTGAGGATGTAGCACAGTGGGTAGAGTGCTTGCCCAGCACAAAGCCCTGAGTTCAATCCCCAGCACCCACAAACCAGGCTTGATGGCATATACCTTTATAGCAGCCCCCACTGGGTGGGTGGAGGCAGGAGGATCCGAAGTTCAAGATCCTCCTGCAGCCTGGGATAGAAGAGACCCAGAGTTAAAAAACAAAAAAACAAAAAACAAGCAATCACTTTTTTGTTTAAATCTACTATTAAATCTACAAATTAAATCTATGGATTTAATTTCTGTCTGTCCAGCACTCATGCTCCCAATCCTGTGAAATTTTCAAATATTTTTCGTTCCCCATGCTCTCCCTTCCTCACCCACTCGTTCCTTCTCTTCTCTCGGCTCTGACCCACAGCCTCCCCCCTCCTGTCCTCATCTCCCCTCCTCTTCCCTTTCTTTTTTTAAGTTTTTTTTTCTTTTAACTTTCAAGGTCATTCCGGACTCCTGATGCCGCCGGTCCCTTAGTGAGACGTGCGCGCCATTGGCGTCCGTGGCCTCTGTTTCCGTGGCAACCCAGTAACCATTAATTTTCAATTAAAGGAGACAAAAAGCTGGATGACAGCTCCGGGTCTGCTGAAGATGTCAAGAATCTGTATTAATATACAGCAAGAGAGCATAATTGTGTGTCCATCTTCCAGAGCGGCGAAAAATGGAGGGATAATTACCGGCTCGAAAGCCACTCTGTAATTTAGTTCTTACTGTCACCACGGCCCTACACATTAGCATAAATTAAAAGCAGGGTTTATTGTTATCAAAGTGCATTGATATCGCCAGACCCGCTTTCTTCCTTTTAACTGTTTGTTGTGGTTGAAGTGACTCCCCAGTTCTCGCAGGGGTCTCCCTGGCATGGAAAGGGGAAGCTCCGATGCTAGACCTGGAAGGTCATGACCATTTTTTTTCCTGCCATCATTGGGTGCTCTGGGTGGAAAAGACCAGTGGGAGGGAAGATCGTGTCCGCTGGTGAGGGCTGTGGGTGATGGGCAGGTGTGCTGCTGCGTTTTTATTTCACCTTTCACGTATGAGGGCTTTGTTATGCTTTAGAGTTCTCTAGCTCTTTCTCAAGGGCACCACTGCTCCATCTTAGGTCCGTCTCTGGTTCCACTGACCCATTGTGGGGGTGGGGGTACAGAACATGTACTAGGCCCTCAAGGCCAACCTGTTAAAGAGATGGGTGGGTACAGAGGGGTCTCCTCTCCCTTTCTGGATGCCAGGAGATGGAACCTTCTTGTTTTCCTGGTCCAGGGTCTTGTCAGCTAAAGCAGAGACATTCCCGGCTGCTTCTGGGCCACCCAGAACCCCAGCTCCCCAGACAGAGCTCTCTGGAGCTCTCCCCCGGCACACACCCCCGTTTGGTCTTGCTTCCCTGTGGTCTTGGGTCTTGTCACCCTGCAACCTCTCCTCCGAGGAGTCAGAGTGCCTCGAAGTATCTCCAGAGTGCCAGTGACAGCCATAGAGACCCAAGCATTTCCGTGAACAGGGATGTGATGTGGGGGTTTTCTTGCATTCTATCCAGAGAGAGCTGTCCTTCAGAGGGGAATTTAGTGTAATTACCCTTAAGGGAGCGATCCTTACACAGCCAGTCACAACACTGACCTCCTAGCTGAGGTTTGACAGCAAAATTACAGGCTGTGTACTCAACACAGGGGCATCCTCCCTTTTTGGGGGTGGGGGGGAGGGAGGAGGAGGAGGAGGCAAAGGAGACATAGATGCTTTGAAAAGAAAAGTGCTGCCTTCCAGCTGCCAGGCACAGGCACAGGGTTCTCCTTGGCAAGGCGTAGACAGGGCAAAGAGAAGGAACCCCGAGGTCCCCAGGCACTCCAGCTGCCAGAGAGGAGGGGCTGAGGCAGCCATCCAGCCCTACAGATGTCTGGGCCGTGGTCTGCAATCCTGATCGCAGCTGAAGTTTATCTTATTCCAGGTTGAGCTTTAAAGCACTAAGAATTATTTGATAAAATACTGAAGTCTCCCAAACACATCTGTCCCTCAGTCCTTCCCATGGTGCTGGAATGTTCTCCTACCTGAGCGAGGACACATTCAAGGCCCTGTAAACATCACCTATGTGGCCTGGTTAATGCTCACAGGTTAATGTGCTGCTGGTCCAAATTTAGCATGGGCTTATCTCTCAGATGCGTGCTGGCCTCTCACACGCCAAGACACTAAGGACAAACAACAGACTGCTTTTCTCGAGGACTGGAGAGAATCTTGATGGACTTTGGAACCCCCACAAGGAGTGGTGGAAAATCCCCAAATCTTAGTGTGGCAGCAGCTCCAGAGACCTGATGGGTGCAGACTCCTTCCAGGGCAGGTCTCCCTCTCCATCTCTGCCCTGCCTCTGCCCAACTCAGGAGCTCTGTGCCTCGACGTCCCTTCCACTGGACGACAGCACTGACTTCTTGGATTTCCTCCTGAGTGGGACAGAAAACCCATTCTGGGTTCTGGAATCCCTACCCTCCTTGTGAACCCCACAGAGCCAATCTGGACTTTCTCCAGTGAGAGAGTCTTTCCAGTGCCTGCAAACAACTTAGCAGTTTCTCGTCTCTCCAGTTCTGGAACCTGGGGGACAGACCCCTCATCTTCTAGCCCACCCTTCCAAGAGGAGGTAGAAAAGAAGGCCGAAAGTGCATGGGGCCTGGTTGGGAAACCCGGTGTTTACTGAGCACCTACTGTATCTCCTGCCCAAACTCCCACTGTTCTTCCTTCCGTCTACCCATCCCGGTAAGGAAATGATATGTTATTCCCACTCACTGGAGAAGAAAACTAGACTCAGGAAGCTTCGAATCAGTTGCCCAGGTCACCTGGTTAGCAAAGGCAGAGCCAGGATGGAAGCAGAGATTCCCAGTCCACTTGAGGACTTGCCTGAAGACCTACGCTGCTTCCGATCGACACTCGTGGGGTGCCATCATGTTGGAACTGTGGCAGTGCGTGCCTGCCTCCCTCTCTTCAGAGCTACGTCCCTGCTGCCTGGAAGGGAGAAAGGACTCTAGGGAGAGCCAGTCTGAGTCTCCCCACTCCTGCCTGAGGGTTCACCAGCCCATACCCACCTCAGCAAGGACACCGAGGACGTGGACCGTGCCATGGTTCTTCCTGCCCATGGGACCTGTTCCAGGGCTCTGTGGAGCACTCATCATTCCTCGGGGATTCTGCCCTGGCAGGAGGGCCCACCTGGGCCCCTCTGCCTTTATGGATACACCCACCAAACTCATCTTCCAGGGAGCATCAACCATCCCTCTCAGGCCCTGGTGCCTAGTTCCTCCCTCAGTGGGGTCTCCTTAGCCAGTGCACGCTCACTGTGTGTGCAGAGCTTTACTTGCTCTGCCTTACCCCAAGTCCTCCACATTGTGGACATCGGGTCCCCAGTACATGTGGCCAGTGGAAGGAGGCACAGTCAGCATACACTGAGGCGGGCTTGCCGGTGTTGCGGAGGCTGAGCAGATCCAGTTCTGTGCGAGCTCACGCTGGTGTACCCTGGGTTGTGGAGTAAAAGGTGTGGTGTGGGCCCAGACCCTACTTCTATTCTGGACTTCGAGTATGGCAGAATGGATTTCTAAGAAACTTTCTTTTTTCAAGTTTAAGTGTGTGTGTGTGTAGTATAGTATGTGTGTGATGTGTGTACATATTAGTGTAGATGTGGTAGCCCAAGGTCAACATCAAGTATGTTTCGTCAGTTGTTGACCATTCTTATTATTATTAATTAGACTTTATTTATTTATTTGTTTGTTTGCTTATTGTGTGTGTAAACAGCTTGCATATGTATGTCAGAGACATTTCGCCAGAGTTTTTTCTTCTACCATTTGAGTCCTGGCGACTGAACTCAGTCAGGTGTTCAGGCTGGGTGGCAAGTGCCTTCCCCCCGAGCCACCTTGCTGGCCTTCCCCACCTTTACTTTTTGAGACAGGGTCTCTCAAAGAATCTGAAGTTCATCCCAGGCCAGCTGGCCAGTAAACCTCAGTGATCTTCCTGTCTCCACACTCCCCCACCCCCCCAGCTCAGGCTTTCACATGGGCTCTGGGCATCTCAACTCAGGTCCCCCTGCTTGTGTGCCAGGCATCCTACTGACCGAGCCGCATCTCAGCTCCTGCATGGAGGGTTTCTGCCCCCATCCCACCAGCAGGTCCTCTGGGTACCTTCCCTTCTCACAGCTGCAGACTGAGAAGGGCTCCTTTAGACTCCTACTACCCTTAGTCCGGGAGGGCCCACAGGTACAGCCTGGCTCATTTCCCTCCCCTAGGACTCGGCTGGCTTACCTGGGCTGGAGTCCACACCCAGGAGTGCAAGGGTGCCCCTGGGAGCCCTCACCCTGGCCTCAAAGCCGTTCCCCTCCCCACAGATGTAAACCCTGGCCCAAGTGGCCACACAGAGCATGTCTCTTAAACAAACACTCTCCTTGCTGTTTATCTCCCTGGCCTTTAAACAAACGCTCTCAAAGGTTTCTGCTGATAGGGGAGATTTGCTGAAAACCATTCCTTGCTTAAAAGCCCAGGGTTTATGCTGCCGGGTGGGGGTTGTGGGGCCTTCAGGCCTGGCGTTTCTCAGCCTCGGGACCACATGTTTATCCTCTGGGCCTTGATAGAGGAGCAGCAGAGACTAATCTTTATGGAAAAGAAAATAATAAAAGCAGGAAAGGGGAGGGCGGGGGGAGACCGGGAAGGGTTTGGTTCTTGTCAGACTCCTACTGTGGCAGGTTGGGGCGTGGCGGTGCCCACCCCTCTGTGGGGGTGGGCACAGTGCCAGGGTGGGTGGGGCCCCCCTGGACTTTGTACAGAAAGCAGGTGAGCCTCCTCCTGGCCTTCCATCCCCTACGGAGGCAGAGTGGGCCTCTCCCAGGTGCACTGCGCAGGAGTAGGGGAGGGGGTGGAGCCTGACAGCAGTCACGTGTTCCTGCCAGTTTGTCCTCTGCCTTCAGTCAACCTGAATTCTGGAAGTACCCGTGGCGTGGTTTTTGACATGTCCTTCAGCATTCTTGCAGATCTCGTTCAAAATCATTCACTTAATTCAGTGGTTCTCAACTTGTGGGTCCCGACCCCTTGGCGTTGAATGACCTTCACAGAGGTAGCCTAAGATCATCGGAAAACACAGATATTTACATTACGATTCACAACAGTAGCAAAATTACAGTCATGAAGAAGAACGAAAATAATTTTATGGTTGGGGTCACCACAACACGAGGAACTGTATTAAAGGGCTGCAGCGTCAGGAAGGGTGAGAACCACTGACTTAATTCCTACAGTACAACAGATCCCAGGGGTACATTTATGATGAGCTTGACTTTTCAGCTGGGGAGACAAAGGCACAGGAAGATCCCTGGGCCACACCCCAGAGGTTTGGGCTCACTTGGGATGAAGTATGGGTGTCAAATTCGAAAATGACTCTTCCCGAGTGGGGAACTGTTGTAGAAGTGACAGTGTTTCCCTTGCTCTCCCCGTGATCCGGAACTAGTTCCATGCTGTCTCCCAGTTCATCGACCACACCAGGGTGTTTGTTTTTGTTTTATTTCTTTCGGAGAAACAACCTCATGTACCCAAGGCTGGCCCCAAACTCTTTATGTAGTTCAGATGACCTTTTTGTTTTAAAGATTCATTATTTTTAATTGTGTGTGTGTGTGTGTGTGTGTGTGTGTGTGTGTGTGTGTGTGTGTGTGTGTGATTCTGTGTGTGGGTGCATGCATGTGATTGTAGGGGCAGGGGGAGGCCGGAGGTGTCAGATCTAAATGCCAGGATTACAGGGATGTACCACCATGCTTTGCTGAAAGCA